AACAGAATAACAAATTTGTATTCATAAATACGGTTCAGTCTTGCAATTATATTTTGTGTATGAACACAATCTGTCTACGATAATTTATCATTTGTATTTAAAAGACTTTTCGACCAAGTGCAAGAAATAAGAAATAGCTATATGGGCCGGGATCGGCGATATGGCGCCAGTCTAGATAGAGGGCCGACTTAGACTGGGAGCTGAGTGTGTACCTGACTTAGTACCTTGCGTGGAGTTTAGTCCAACTTGCCAATGCAGGTCGCCAATGGGCTTAGTGCCCAGATCTTGGCGACTTCTAGACTATGTTGCCGTAATGCTGATACGTTTATCTCTACAGCAAGAAGTACCCAGCCTCGTCAGGCAGCCCACATATATTCATAAAGTGACCCTGATTTTATATAGTACATGTATCTTTGTTTATACCTCGCCCAATATGTCACTTTATGCAGACATATTTTTTATATATACGATATAGTATTTATTTTGGCACTTGCCGCCCAAGTCGTTAAAATGTCTCTTGTTCTAGTGCGTGTGTGTGTGGGAAAGTTAAATACGTTTTTGGCTTTTCACCCAAAATATTTTCTGACGGAAGTGCGCGTGTCGTGTGCGGCATTGAGGAGCCATATTTTCGGCACTTTTTTAAGCCCAAATATACAAAATAAACTGTAAAAATATTATGTGCATATGCTTGTATGTAGGTATTTTTATGTACTCGACAACCTAGTGCGAAGCAAAAAAACCTAATTGATATTTCAGCTGCAACTTGAACTGTAAGGCAAATTTGTGACGCCTACGAGCCGCGTTTTTGGCAAACTTGATATCGATGCCAAGCTATGTGCCGCATATTAAAACCAACACATGTGGCAGCAACATTTAATTTCCTCATTAGGGTCCCAAACAGTAGACATAGCGAAAGAAAATCGACAAAAACAGCCATCCAATTGCGAGGCCTGAGCTGCATGAACAATTTTTGACGTCAAAGCGCTTCGAAACATTTCGAAAACACAAACAACAAATTATTATTCGAGCGAAATTGAAAACAGACAAACGCAGGCGAACGAACCGAACGAGCGGCGCTAATGAAATCATTTGGCATATTTCGGGGTACATCTAATGTGTGGAAGGAAAGCATTATACCCTTTATTATAAAAGTGAAAAGGTATATTGTGTTTGACAACATAGTTTGGTATATCAATTATCAGCTATTCAAGAGAAGACACAATTCTTTGGGTTTTAAAAAACCTTCGAAATTATATCGCGTAGTTAATTTAAAATTTTAATTTTGGGGATTCATGAAAAGTACATTTTTTATTAAACTATTAAAATTAATGATTATGGCCTTATATGGTTTACATATAATTTTATTTATTAAACATTTAGTAAACATTTACTTTCTTACTAACTATTGAGTTTCGAATTTATTGTATTCATTTTATTTTGTTTAGTATTTATATATTTTAGTTTAAAAGTGTTGAAAAATATTAAAGAATAATATTTTTAACTTTAAATGGCTATTTAAATAAAATCAGACCACCATATCGTACAGCCTTTTGATTAGTTAGCGGATTTAAATAGTCTTATTTAGGAGTTTCAGCAAATATTTTTGGTGGTTTTGATTTCGAAAGAGGTCAGTAAAAAACACCAGTCTGTTAAATTGGGGAAATTCTTAGTGTATTTAGAACCATCGCAATCAAACCACTAGATCGTGCAGACATTTGAAATAGTTTTAAATAGGAGTTTAATGTGAAATCTCTGCATTTGTTTTAAAATTTGCCAAAAAAAAACACTCGTTAAACTTAATTTAAACATCAAGTTACATTTTATTTCTGCAACTTTATAGAAAACTCTTAACAGTAAAGTGTTCAGCAATATAAAATTTAGGAACGTTTTTTAAGTGGTTCACGATTTATAAATAAATATAATAAATTGTACAATGCTGTTAAATTAGAAAAATATTGAAATTTCTTAATCTTTTACATAAAAAAAATAAAAATAGAATAAAAGAATAATAGTAGAAAATAATAGAATTGGCAAGGCCCATTTAGACGAAGAGATTTTCTATCGCCAGCTAATATTCTAATATTCTCTGACATATGCGATGAAAAAGTACATCATGTCAGAAATAGAATGCAATTCTATTCCTACGTTCATATCGATTATCAACGAGTTTGGCTTTTCAGAATAAAAAAAATATACATATTGAAAAGTTTGAGAAAAAAATTATGTAGATGGTCTAGACGTTCTTGGACGACACAAGTTGCAAGAAAAATGTAAGGGTATATATTTTCCACGCAGCCGAACATAACTCTCTTAATTTGTTTTTAAGAAATCACTGCAGCAGCAGAGACAACAGCGCTAAAGCAAGATAAATCAAAATTCTAACGGCCAAATGCCATTAGACAAATGTTCACTGGCAACCAACCAGACGCCAGGGATTGCTATACAAATTGAAGAGAAATAAAACAAATACAAGGATTAGTAATGGACGCTGCTAGTACAGGGACTTAAGCCATTAAGACGCAAATAGGGGCGACTCTATAACAGCTTATTTATAGTTTTATTCTAGCACAAGAAATGCAAATGCACTCAAGCTTTTCAACCCTCACTCAACTCAACACAAATGAGTCACAAGTTGTAAAGCAACCACCGGCCAAGTCACATTTTGTGGTCAAAAGGAAAAAGCTGGAAAATAAAAAAAAACCAAGAGAAAAAGAAAACAAGCTACAAGCAACGCAACATTGAAAAAGAGATAAAGCGCACAAATATTTAGCCGCTGACCCTTAAAAAGCAATATTTGACATTTGTGCTCAAAAAACACATTGAAAAGAAAAGGCGACAACAGCATTTCGCATTTCTAGCGGCAAAATTAGAGGGCACTACGAAATGCGACATATACTCTGTATAGAGGGAGGGAAATATGCACATACAAATAAAAATGTAAATGTGTACTTTTGAATGAATAAGAGCCAACAGCGAAATAAAAAATCAAGTGTTCCAGTTAAGTTGATGGGAAAGACACTTTCAACTACTACTTATTTGCTTACAAACTTCAAACTTATATTGAAAACTTCAAACTTAAATATACTGTGCTGATGCTAGATATACTTGTATAGGGCTAAGCCGATATGCTTAAAAGCATCCACTGCTAAAGCCTACTTCTACGCAGTCGTGCTTAGTTCAGTTTTTTAGACTTAGTTTACATTGTACATTCCACATACCTACCCTTATTCGGCACTCCCCAACTTTCGACACACTCACTTCTCTTTTTAGTCTGTCTAAAGTCAACTTTAAAACATTCGTAAAGTTTCTTAAAGAATCAAATCTAATTCATAAATTATTCTACTATTAAAATTCCAAAAACTCCATCAATTCATCTATTCATTTGTGTAAATAACTCCGTTAAAATCAATTCATAATATAATTTATAATTTCTTCATGTTCCAATCACATATATGTACAATTTTCAAAATTTGAATTTGTAATTAATAGTTGGCTTTACTTGGCGATAATTTCGATATTAAAAACCGAGTTTGAGTTAAAAAGCTAAAATAAACTATCTTTTAGCTATCTGTCACTACTTGACTAGACTTTAACAACCTAATTTGTAAAATATTTCAGATTAAAAACTTATTCTGACCGTTTTAAATACCTAAAACAATCGTTTAAATCGTACATTATTTATTCAAAAAAGGTATCAAGAAAATAAAAAGAGTTTTTTAAAGAACATAAAATACATATTTCTCAAGTCCTTAATGGCCAACGTTCAAATCTTATTTTAGGCTAAAGCGATTCAATGGATGGCCAACTACTAAATTCTAGCTAAACAACTATTTAGAAAACATATATACACATATACACACGTATAGTATGTATGTGGGGTACATAAATTGAAGGCGCAGATTCAAATAGATACACAGAGTATATATGTAGATATTCAAAAGATGTTCTTTTTCTCTTTCCTTTCGGTATTAGCTGCCCGAGTGATTCAAATAGACAAACCGACAACAACAACAACAACACCACCAATACCAACTATATTTCGGCTGCCCAAAAGCAACACCTCAAATTCGAATTCAAATTCAACGGAGGCCATGTCATGTAATAAACTCAAAAATTGAGGCGGATGTGCACGCTTCCAAAATGTTTATAAACAAATACGGCTGAAAATACACTTAAGTGGTTCAACTATTATGCAAGTTGAAGGTATACGTATATTAAGAGTATTGTTCGAAACAATGAAGCTATTAAGTAGAAATATGTTATTCCTATAAAGGTTCTTCTTCTAAATGACAGCACCGTCATTTAATTATTTGTATAAAATATGGCCAATACTATGCTACTATACCGCGAAGAATATTAATTTAGCTTCATGAAATGTATTTCTTCAGCATTCATTTTACTGCTCAACTATCTTGATCAATCGATATATTATTATAGAAGGTAATAGTTTTATAAACCATGCACTTGCAAACCGATTCTTTGTCTGTATGGATGAACCTCTAAATTTGATAAAGTATTATTAGTTAGGGCTACAAACTTTTTAAAGGCAGCTTATTTTAGACTTTTTGCTTATCATGTTTATGCTGCACTTTCTCTCATTTAAATTTTTATTAAAATATAGCCAATAGCTTTCTACTATACCTCAAAGAATATTAATTTACCTTTTCAAAATGTATTCAGCATTCTTTTTACTGATCAATCTAATTTATATTATTTTGGATAATCTGATATGAAAGATAATAGTTTTAACTACCATGCACTTGCCAAGACGAGGCAAGCCGTTCCTTTGTATGTATGTCTGAGCCTCTATACCAAAAGTATTATAAGTAGCTAAAGCTACAACATTTTAGATGTAGCTTCTTCACTTCATTGTTTAATACATGATAGTTGATAGGCTCTTCACGACTTCAGAAAGATGTACATTATGTATATAAGTATATGTGAAATATATTCTTAGGTAGTAAAACAATTTTTTTTTCTACTCTTTTATGTGTACTTACACTTATGGCGCGTACTGTACGACATTAAGATGCAGTATAGGTAAATCCCAAGAGTTGTCAGCGAAATAAAAACCAAGTATTCCAGTTGGGTTGGTGCGGTTGGAAAAGTGTGTTACAAATGTCGTTGCATTTGCTGCGATTTGTTGCCGTTGCCGTTGCTGTTGTTGTTATTGTTGGGCTGTCGTTTGTTTTGCCGCTGGCACGTTGTCACAGAAACACACACGCCGGCACACACACTCGCGAAAGAAAGTAAGGGACGAGAAGCGCGAAAACAAACACGTTACTGAACAAAACAAAAGAAACTATTGATTATTACAACGTAGGAAGTTATTGGGGAGTCAGTGGCAGCCACTGTTGCAATGTTGTGACAGCAGCAGACAATCCAATTAGCAAGTTGATAAAGCCGCAACGTGCCACACGGCGTATGAGTAACGAACAGTTAAAGTTAGAACCCGACGACGGCGAAAGTACTGACAAAGTTATCTTCTTTTTTTTTAACAAAATACAAATGTTAATGCAACTTTAAGAATGTGCTCTGTTGCTTATAAAGTGCGAAATATATACAAGTATGTACATATAATATATTCTTGAAAACCAAATTGCAAACGTAAGAAAAATCCACAAGTTGGAAAAGACAAGAGAACCGCAAGCGCGACGCGCACGAGAACACAACTAACGCAGAACTGAATGGGCCACGAGAAAATTGGGCGTGTGGCGGACCAAGCAAGCAGACGACCGGCCTATGACGTTTACCCATTGACTTTACACACACACATCAAAACCTAAACTCGGAAAATTCAACCTAAATGGTAGATAAGCATCCGACTCTGGGATACTCTAGGGCCATGCGGCCCACTTTATTTGAACTTTTATTCATCTTGGAATATTATTTTTCCTTCGCCTTTCTATTTTATGACTATGTTAGTCTTTTTTTTATTTATACATTACATAATTACGGTGGTTTTGGAGAGACCAAGTGTTTTTAATTGATTAATTTATTTCAAAATTTTACATTCTGCCGAAAAAAATTATGTTTTAAAAGGGGCCCCAAGAAGGTATAGACTAAAATTTGTGCATAACAATACGCATAATTGTTGAATAAATGATTCCATCAAATTTCATTTGTCCATCTATAATCATCTTTAAGATTAAGAGGTTCATACAAGCAAACGGTCGTTTGACCGATGGATGGACAAAAAAGTACATGACCTTAATTTTCAACAGAAACTACAGATACAAGCTCACGCTTTATGAAACTAATAAATAGCTTAGTCTTCCTTTCTCAAATAACTAATATAACCATTCAGCTTTCGTCTGCATAGTGTAGTAGCAGCACAGTGGGAAATGCTATTTTTGCGCCCAGAGCGGAAAAGCGTAGCACATAATAAAAATGCTCACAAGACGATTGAGCACAATGAGCAGAGTAGAGCAGAGGAAAAAGCTGAGGTGTAAACAGCGCACGGCATGAGTGTTTTTGTTTACAAAAATAGCGTTGGTGTGGGAGTGGGGGAAGGGGAGCCAACAGTTTACATTGCATCGTGCCGGCTTGTGCAATGAAACGAAAGGGAAATGGCGAAAATCCTATTCAGAAATGTAAATTAATGTTGCGCACACTCACCTTGACCAGCTCCAGCGATGTGTAAACAGCTGTAACAGCATCCGTCCGACGCCCACCGCCTCCTGCACCATTATCCTCGTGGCTAACCACCATCAACAAATTTACGGCGCTCCTGGCAACGCGTCCTTGACCGCAATGAAAGGCACTTAACTCCAAGCGATTTTAATTAACGCGCACATTATGCATTTCACACTTGCATTTACAATAAATTGCACAACATTTCGCGGGAATAGCAGCTTTGGCTAATTTTTGGCGCCGGCAAACGCCCGCGCTTTTTTCACTATGGCCGTAACTTGATTAATATTTTAATAGCTTAACACTTACCTTCCTTTTTATGACAAACTTTGTGGCACACACACATTAAACTACTGATTAAACTCTACATTAAACACTAACTATTACGATTATCACCAGATATAATGCCAAAATGCATTTACAAAACGCGTACGCGCACGTAAAAAAGACGAAAACGACGGACGAACAAAAACAGCTGAGCGCTGCAAAGTCTAATTGGGTTTGAGGAGGGTTGATGAAGCCGCGCACCGCTTGGAACTGCAACGGTGCCGGTGAACAGGCACAGTTAATCCACGCTTTTTATTAATTTCCACCGCTTAATGCTAAGCCTGAAGAAATGCACAGTAAACAGTAAATAAACATAAATAATTTGTTTTCTTGGCAACTTGCCAACTCGACTGAAACTGTAAACAACCCTCCGTTAAGGGGGCATGCCTTGGACAAGCAGTGCATTTTAAGTGTTACCCCATTTCTGCAAGAATTTTACTCATATGTTTGCTCCAGTGTGACACTCTTGGGATAAATAGCTTGGCACCACATTTTGAGTGCAGCAAAATAAAAATATCATTTAAATCCACTTGTTGCAATTTTAAACAGTTGATATTATAAAAAGGAGAAAGTAAATATGGCACGCTCAGAGTCTGAGGAGAAAAAGCAAAAGCGCAAAGGCAAGAAACGCAAGCACGAGAAAGCGAAAGGTCTCGAAAGTGATGAGGAAAGCGCCGAGAAAAGTTTAATTGTAGAGCGGAAGCAGGTGGAACCAGAACAGACCAAGGGTGAGAATTCATTGAAGCATTCATTAACAAACAATAATATGATGTATAAACTATAGTCAAAGCACAAAAAAGGAAGCTGGGGAACGAGAACGCCGATATGGTTAAGGAGAAGCGAAACAAGCGGCGCCAAAGCATGAGCGAAGAAGAAAACGAGGCTGAAAATGAGCCGGAAATGCCCACAGCGGAGCAGTTGCAAGAGGCGGCAAAGCCAGAGAACAGCAAAGCGATCGTCACAGTACGTCAGAAGAAAAAGCAAAAACATCAGCAGCGCATCGAAGAGCAAAAGGATCAAAATGCCAACAAGGATTCAAACCGCAATGCAGAGTATCTTCGGAAATGGAAAGAGGCGCGCCAGGAGTGGAAGTTTAACAAACTACGTCAAGTCTCCATACAACAAACCGTCTTCGATGACCAGAAGCTGAGCGCAGATGTATGGCCCATAGCGCTCGAGTATCTGGCTGGATCGAGTGGCGCTGCCAAGACGAACATTACCAAACTAGCGGAGGCAGTCATCGAGGAACTAGACAATCAATGCCAAACATTGTCGGAGGAGGCGGAGCGACAGGCAATTCTCGACTCAACGCGTTATCAGCGGGCGCGAGATCTGCTGCAGAGCTTCGACTGACTCTCTAATTCTAAATCCAATATCGTTGACAAGTTCGTTTTTGTTAATGGTTGGCAAACGCCAACAATTATGTACTTTATGAACTTCTTTCGAGTTCAAATTACTTTAATATAGTGTTAATTAATTAAATGCTAATTAAAATTTTCGTGTTACTAATATAAAATGTGTTGAACTTATACATTCATCTGCGGAGGAGAAATTCGACGAAGGAAGGATAATTTTAGCTTTGCTTAATATTTTTATTTACAAATCTACATAGGCCAACAATTTATCCAAATGTTCAATGCGTTGATGCAACAGCTCCTGCTGCTCCTCCTCAAGTTTCAGCTTCTCCAGCTGCTCGGGCTGCAACAAAAAGTGTTGCATGAAGAGACGCACACTCTGTTTAAATTGTTGCAGTTTCGTGTTTTTAGCCACGCGCTCAAAGGCCTGATAGAGAGCGCTCTCCTCCGTGGACAGAAGTAGACGCACCATCACCTCACGCATAAAATAAAAACTGAGCTTGTGCAGCTGCATAAAATCCACAACCTTAAGCACTGACAGTTGCAAGCCAGCGGACAAAATGAGTTGCTGTAGAAACCAGGCCAGATTTTTTATCTGCGCTTTGGTGAGAGCCTCAATGTCGTTAATGCGATCCCAGCTGGCGAATTGGAAAGCCAGCTGAAATTTGCGATTGTATTGACAGAATTTGAGGGCCAAGTGAGCATAGTAGGGATTCGGCTTACGCTCATTGAGCGCACAGTGTATGATCACATAAGCGACAGTTCGCTGATCCTTAAGCGACAAATGCAGAATTTTTTCAAAGGCGTCCACATAGTCCGCAGCGCTCATAATTATGCAGAAGATGTTGCGACGCTCGGCAGTGTTCATGTGCTGTTTCTTGGCCAGCTGTAGCAGCTTCTCCGAGAAGCGTTCCCTGTTTGGCAGACTGTGTTCCTCCGTCGTTGTCTGCGTGGCGCTGCCCATCTCATTGATGTTGCCCGTCCACGCAGATCCAACAATCCACCATTTGCCCACCTTGTCGGCTCTCAGGAGGTCATCTAGCGTTATATTGAGTGTCACCACGTATCGTTCGTTTCGCAGCATGCCCTTCAGACGCTTCCGCAGCGTCTCTGCCAGCTCTGGATCATATTGTGGCAATTTAGTCATATTGTTGTTCTTCACAGCATTCAGAATGTCCACCATAAACTTGAGTCGCAGATTCTCCTTGAGCTCCAGTGGCGCTGCAGCAATTTGTGACTGCACATTCTGCATCATCTGCTTAAAGGCCAGAGGATCATCCTTGCGCAGACGAAAGCCCACATTTTGAAAAATTAAAAGCAGACACTCCACGGCCTTCTCGCAGAGATTGCCAGCCAGACGCGCAATGAGCTCTAACAGCAGACGTTGCTCGTAAATCTTAAACATGTACATGTAACAGAGCAGCAGGACGAGATTATTCAGTCGCTTATCCTCCACATCCAGTTGTTGCATATCCTTCACATACCCATCAAATTGCTCCACGAACATTTGCAGAAAGTGGGCGCCAATCTCGCTGCCAATATGGGCATGCAAGTAGGCTAACAATACCATGTGTTCCTGCACCATTCGCTCATTGGAGCGCGTCCTACCGATCAACGCCTCGTTCAGCAATGCCGTCAATGTATCATTCATATTATAGCGCGAATTCTTCATGTAAAGCTCCTCAATGCCGGTGGCAATCTTATGCAGATTCGCCTCAGACAGTCGATTGAGCAGACCCTTGCATTGCTTGCGAAGTCTGGCCAGGATTTCGGCCTGTTTCTCACTGGTGCCTGCGCTCGCTGCGAGCAACGCTCTCTGATGTGGCGGTATATACTTTTGTCCACTCTGTGCTGCCACAGCCTCGACAGCATCCGGAATAATGTTGCCATCTGCATCCCGTCGCCTGCCATATATGTCCTCTTTGTCTGTGATTAAGTTAAGGTAATATAACGAATAGCGACAGAAAAAGTTATTTCACTTACACTTATTTGTTTCCTTCTGCTTCATCTCCTCCTCCTTCTCTTCGTCGTCTGTATCTGTTTCTGCAGCATTTCCGTCTTCGTCATCTTCTTGCCCACTTGCGTCCATTTCTTCATCATCGAAATCCTCACTGCCTGCCTCATCAGCATCGTTCCCATCCATACTAGCTGTTTCGTCCTCATCTTCGTCGCTCCACATGCCTGCCTCTTCTTTAGCCTGCTGCTCCTTAAGTTCTTGTTTCCGGCGCTGCTTCTCTTCCCACTTGACCTTCTCCTCCTCATCGTCTAGCACCAAATCCAGCACATAGTCCAACCCATCGCTAAACATTTTTCGCATCAGTCGATTCTTATCCTTTGTCTTGTTCAACTTGAGTTTCTTTTCCAGCCTGGCTATCTCCTTGTCCTCGTCCTCATTCTCCAGCTTTAATTGTTTTAAGCGCTGCTTGCGTGCCTTGCTCTGCAGTTCCTTTTGCTGGCGCAATTCCTTTTGGCGCACCTTCGTCTCGTCCTCTCTTTGTATGCCAGCATGTTTCTTAGCTTTCTTCCCAAGCGGATTGTAGACCTCCACTTTTCCTTTGCGTTCTGCTGGCAGCAGAGCATCCACTTCCTCATCGCTGAAGTTAGAGTCGATTGAATCGTCATCATCGGCATCCACTTCGCCTGACAGCAACTGCTCCACGGGTATGTCCTCGGGATTTATCTTCGGCTTCTTCCCCTTTTTGCCTTTCTTGTTCTTTGTTGTTGCGAGTGCGTTAGCTGCCGCCTCCGCCATCGCAGCCGCAACACGTTGTCCGCCATCCGATTTACTCGAATAATAAAGTCGCTTTTTAATTTTCTTTTGTTCCACCTTTTGTTTACGCTGCTCCTTACGAGTTAGCGGTTTCTTGTAAGCTTCCTTTTTCTTTATTTTGGCCATTTCAGCGCTTTTAAATATTCACCACGCGCGTTACTGCCGCCACTTTCCGATCAGCTGTTTTCGGCAAGTGTGTACAACACGTGCAATACACAGTGGAATCAAATTAAATAAAAAAAATAAAAAAATCAAATTGTAAATACACACATAGCTGATGAATAGCTTAATTATCAACTTAACGTGCATAATTGAATATGTCTTATAAACTGTAAACATATTGATAAAACGTAGCTATAAATGATTACAAATAATATATTAATAAATATGACAAATTCATATATAAAATACGTTTATTAATTATAAACTTCATTAATCAATGAATGAAAAGTTGTGTTTTTGTAATGCATGTCTAGTTTACCTGGTGCTTATTCATGAATTTACCTTAAATAAAAAACGTACTAATGTTCCAAAAAATAATATATACCACATGCATACTTCCGCTGTAAAATATGTGTTGAATTTTATAGCTTTCTTTTAGCATTTGGCTACCGAAATATGTTTCGGTATGATGTAAAATCAGTTATAAAACTACCAATAAAATTTAAACATCGATTGTCTAATTAAACTTTTCATGCTGCTACGTTTAACAATGTATTTTTTAGTTTACACTAACAAAAACCAGAAACAAATATTGCATATTGTATAGAAAGGCTTACCAAAACCGGCATATACTTGAAAATACATTTTATTGCATTGCAGATAATCTGGTACCACTGTACGCGGTAAAAATCAGCTGTTCAGCGATCGGAGTGTGTTTACAAGTCACAACGTGCGGTTGATTTTTCACATATTTTTGTTTTCTATCTAAAATTAACTAAAAACTATGTCCACACGCTGGTATCCAATTTATCAACGGGGCAATCCGCAACTGCGAGTGTTTCTGCCAAATTTCTGGATGAAATTGGTGCGGCCCACAGAGGAACAGCCTCCCAATGTTGTTACCTTTGCAGTGTCCACAGAAATGACCAAACATGATGTGAAAAATTATCTGGAGAAGATCTACAAGGTGCCGGTGGTGGAGGTGCGTACACGCATAGCTTTAGGCGATACGAAACGTGATCAAACCTATGGATATATCACAAAGAACGACGACGTTAAGATAGCTTATGTAACAATGGTGAGTAGCATGGAGGGAGATCCAACAAATACATATGTATGTATATCTAACTTTACTTTTAGCCAAAAACCGAGGCTTTCAAATTTCCCGATCTTTTTGAAAAGAAGGCGGAACAACTGGAAAAGGATGAGAAGTCAATGGACGATTCCAAGGAAGGTTTTCGCAAGTTTTTGGAACGCAACAAAAAGCGTCCCGGCACCCCCGGCTGGTTCTCAATTTAGATTATAGTTTAGCTTTTAGTTGTTGCAACGAATAATAACCATTTATTTTGAAAGTCCAAAGAAATTGTGAGTGTATGCAGAATTTTTCTGTATTTAAAGCTTTCCTTCGTACGCTCCCATCTACATCAAACGACGTCGACCATTCATTACTTCGATTCCTTTACAGCTGCTTCCACCCAGGCGCGGATTTTATCCTCATCCTGCAATCCAACCATACGCTGAACCTCCTTGCCGTTCTTCATCACAACCAGCACGGGAACTGCGGCAACATCGTAGTCCAGTGCTAACTCGCTGTGCTCATCAATGTCCACTTTGGCTAGCTTTATGGAGCCCTGTTGTTCGCCCACAATGCTCTCAATACGGGGGGTGAGCAGCTTGCAGGGATTGCACCAACTGAGAGCATAAATATAGGTGTGGTGAAATGTTTTGGAATGTTCATATAAAGCAGCAAAGCATACTTACGTCGCAAAAAAATCGACTATAACTGGCGTCTGGCTGTTCTTGACCTTTTTATCGAAATCCTCGGCGCTCTGCACCTTAAAAATTTCCCGACGGTGCGCAGATGTGTGTACTGCACGTCCATTCGAGGGAAAGTATAATTGCCTTCGCGTCACACCGCCAAGTGCATTTATCAGCTGCCGTTGCATTTTATGTGCGATTATATCATGTGCTGTAAGCGAAACAAACGAGTACTGAGTAGCTCGCACAAGGCTGACGGGGAAAACAGCAGAGTGCAGGAATCGATAACGACTTATCGAAAATTGTTGCGCTGCCTGTTTATGGTGGAAAATTTAGTTTGTAGGGTAACACTGTGCCATGTCGTGTATATTTTTGTCGTAATAACAAAAGTCTAATTGATTGACTATCTTTTAAACAAAATTCGAGTAAAATTGCACAAGCCACGGTGTGTTGTGGAAAATTGAGAAAGTGCGTTAAAGGCTGCAACAACAACAAGGCGCATACATTAAAAGTGTTAGCGAGCGCCCGTAACTGCGCAAATGGCACAGCAAACGGCAACGACGACGATACGACGACGAATTTGAACAGTAGTAGTAGTGGTAGACGACCGAGAGGACGAGTGGGAGAAGGAGCAGCAGCAGCTGTCAAAAGGAGAAAAAAGACATCATATGCACATAGTTAGAGACTGGGGCAAGAATGGATGATCTGTCAAACACCGACATTTGTCGCGTTTGTCGCTGCGAAGCTCAGCACCCAGACCGACCCTTATTTTATCCCTGTATCTGCACTGGGAGCATTAAATACATACACCAAGACTGTCTGATGCAATGGATGCGCTATTCGCACAAGGAATACTGCGAGTTGTGCGGCCATCGTTTCAGCTTTCAGCCCATCTATGCCCCTGATATGCCACGCGTCTTACCGCTCAAGGATGTGCTGGTGGGCTTAATGTCGGCAGTACTGGAGGGCGCGCGCTGTTGGCTGCACTATTCCCTGGTGGGCATGGCTTGGTTTGGTGTCGTGCCCTTGTCAGCATATCGCACATACCGCTATCTATTTCGCGCCTCCTCCTTTGACATGATACTATCGCTGCCCTTCGATATCTTCTCGATGGATAATCTGGCCTCGGATGCATTTCGTGGCTGTTTTGTTGTGACTTGTACGCTTCTCTCGTTTATTGGTTTGGTTTGGCTGCGCGAGCAGATCCTTCATGGCGGGGGACCGGATTGGTTGGAACGCGATGAGGCGCCAGTAGCTGCAGCAGCAGCTCCAGCAGCCGCCCCCGCCGCCGCTGGCATTGCGGCAGCAGCTGGACCAGATGGTGAGGCTAATGCAGCTCCGCCGCGCGCCAATGATGATAACAACAATGATGGGGCGCCACGAGATGTGCCAATGAATAATGCGGCGCCAGCTGTAGCCAATCCTGCGGACAATGAAGGCGATCAACCACTGGATCAGGCTGGAGGTGCAGCAGCTCCTGCTGCTGCACCTCCAGCTGGGGATGTACCCGATAATGATGAACAGAATTGGAATCCGATGGAATGGGATCGTGCAAACGAGGAGCTAACTTGGGAGCGTCTGCTGGGCCTCGATGGGTCACTGGTGTTTCTTGAACATGTCTTCTGGATCATCTCGTTAAATACCATGTTCATTTTTACCTTTGCGTTTTGTCCCTACTGTGTAGGAAACTTCATATTGAGCTCAATGGATTTGCTTCAGCCGGAGAAGCCTTTGCTCCATTTTCATGGCTTAATAACAACACTTTTTGGATACTGCTGCATTGGGCTAACCCTGGTAGTTCTACATTTCTTCTCTCGAATCTTTAGACTGCGTCGCATCTGCTGGTTCATTGGTCTCTGCTACATTGTGGTGAAGGTGTCATTGCTGTCTGTAGTGGAGATTGGCGTGCTACCGCTCATATGTGGTTGGTGGTTGGACATTTGCTCATTGCCTCTACTCGATGCCAGTCTCAAGGACCGCAAGGCCAGCTTTAAGGCTGCACCGGGAACGTCCCTATTTGTTCACTGGATGTTTGGTATGGTATATGTATATTACTTTGCCGCTTTCATTTCGCTGCTGCGCGAGGTTCTACGTCCCGGTGTACTTTGGATCTTCCGCAATGTCAACGATCCGGATTTCAGTCCCATCCAGGAAATGATCCATGTGCCAATTGTGCGACATGTACGCCGTCTGGTTGCCTCCGCCATGATCTTTGGCTTTGCTGTACTGCTAATGCTTTGGTTGCCTATTCGAATTCTTCAAGTGATCTGGCCGAATTTCTTGCCCTATGCCTTGAGTGGGGATTCGGAAGTGAATGATTTGAGTCTGCAGCTCTTGCTATTACAGGTGAGTTCCAAAAATGATATGCCGAGGTCTTTCTATTAACAAGTTTAGTGGAGTCTTTTCCACAGAGATTTCTTTATAAGTCGCAACTTTAATTTAAAATACTGAGAACTTGAACGTTCTTTGGGCGCGCTTATAAAGTTTAAAGCTCTGAAATATGATCATAATTCACAATTGTACTTTCGATAAAATTATATCTCGAGTATTATTTGTGGTCGGAGATAGGCGAAATGAGAAAGAGTACTTCAAAATGATAGACTCGTATGTACTTCAAGATTTCTGAATATACATATAGCTGGAAGAAACAGGCGTGACAAACCCTATGCTTATAAGTATTTTAGCTATTAGCAGGCACCGGATCAAATTTAGTTTGTCTCTCGTTATAATTATTTTGTAATATGTAAAAGATTTAACAACAATAAGTTATGGAAGTTAATTTTTTCAAAGCGAATCGTTTCCGTTTCTAAATTCGATGGGAAGGAAATTAAAAATATTTAAGAGGTTATGATTTGGGAATAAAAACATCCTTGATTATGTTTAATGATAATTTCTCCAAAAAAGATTCTGCACTATAGTAGATGCAGTGTAGATGGAGCTTTAGGAGGGCCTTTATTCTACTTGAAAATAACGTTTTTCATGTCACTTTCACAGATTGTGCTGCCTGGCTTTTTTGAGCAAACGCAGACGCGCATTTGGCTCAAAGGATTGTTGCGTATTTGGTGTGTGGCTGTGTCCTGGTTGTTGGGCATTCGTAGCTATCTGTTACCCGCACCTGAACCACAAGAAGCTACCGCCGCTGCTGCAGATGCTAATGCCGCCGCTGGTAACGATGTTCCTCAGGGTCAGGCAGCGGCAGCCGCTCCTCCTGCACCACCGCCAGCACCAGAGCAACCGGCACCACGAAATTTGGCCGCTGCCCATCAGGCCATCATGCAGCGAGACGTGCCAGTTGGCTTCCAGCCGTACACGCGTCCAACATTCTTCGTTCTGCGTTTGTGTGCCCTTTTGCTGATCATGTGTGTTTCGATTGTTTTTGCGGCGATCTTGACATTGACGGTCCCCGTTTATATTGGTCGCCGCCTAATGATGATGTGGACAGGCCATGGGAATTTGGCCGGACAACCGCTGCAGGAGGTGGCGCTGCCTGAGGTCGTTGGTAAGGCGGTGGCACAAGCGGATGGAGTGGATGTGGATGCTGCTGTCGCTAGGAAGAACGAGCGTCTGTTGCGCGCCCATGAACTCTACACTGCAGAACTCGGTGGCTATCTGTGCTGGATCGTGCTGCGTGGCATTGCTGTGGTCGTCACATTGCTGCCACAGGGTCGAGCCGCCATCGTAAACAAGATGAAGCATTGGGCGCGAGTTGCCACACAATATGCGCTGCCCGTCATCACCTTCGTGGGCTTGTTTTTGATTGTGCCCCTACTTTTTGGACTGCTCTTGGAGCTGGTTGTGATCATACCGCTGCGAGTGCCGCTAAAACAAACGCCTATTCATTTCCTGTGGCAGGATTGGGCGCTGGGCGTGCTCTACACGAAAATTGCAATTGCTCTGACACTCATGGGTCCTGATTGGCATTTGAAGCGAGCGCTGGAACGGGCTTATACGGATGGATTGCGCGACTTTAATTTGGCGTTTGTCATTCGCGATCTGGCCGTGCCGCTGATCACTTCGTTTGGACTGGCTCTCGCCGTTCCCTATGTGCTGGGTCATTCAGTGATGCCGATCTTCTTCGCCGACCCCTTGACGCGGTTCCTGATCTCGCGTGTTGTGTATCCGGTCTTCTTTGCTGCCATGGGCAGCATTATATTTGTTCTAGTGCAGATTAAGCAGCTGAAGAAACTATATCTCTCCATCAAAGTGGACAAATACTTGGTCGGCCAACGGCTTGTCAACTATGAGCATCGGAAGAAGAAGCAGAAGCTACAGCAGGAGGGCGAGGGGGAGCCAATCGTACAACTGTCGGCTGAGGAATTTGAGGCAGCCATTGCGGCGGCGATGGCAAATCGAGATCGTCGTCTGGCAGCGGATAATCGTGCTCAAGCGGCGGCAGAGCCACCCGTGCCGCCAGTAGCGCTGGACAATGCCGAGCAGGCAGCTTTACATGCAAGACGCCGGCGCGAGGAGCTGCAGCGACCACTGCTCGTGGATGCCAACGACGAGCTTCTCTAGTGGCATCTGTTCATGCTATTTTTGTTTGTTTTAGAGTTTCTTATAATATGGGTAATATATCTTTGTTGCTTCAACATACCATACGAAGCCGAGCAGGTCTTTTAACTGCCCCATCCAGCAGTCTGTCCCGTGCCACTGCACTGATTCCCCATCGGGCTGGCTGCTGCCGCTTCTCCATGGGTGCGCACGATAAGGATGCCAAGTTAAAAAGTGCATCCTTTACTTGCTTTAGTTCTTTTAATATTCTATTAGCCACAATTATTGTTGATACTTTGCTATAGACCCTAAGCTGTATGTACTTTACGCACTAAAAGTTAAGCCACAAGCACTCAGACATACACACACACACACACACACCCATACACACAAACACACACACACATACACACTTCCACAGCACAGAATTAAATATTTGTAGCAACGCGCGTAAGTCGAACTTTGACATAATTTGTAAAAAGGTTATTTTAAATATTTGTAAATTATAGCTGTCTTGAATTGAAAGTAGGCCGCCAACAGCAGATAGAATTGTGGCACATATATAATATAATAATAACACTTATAATAATACAAATAAACATAATACACATTTAATAATTACTAAAGCTATTGAAACCATACCTTATGTTAGTTGCGTGTAATCGTATTGGACACATGGAACTCTCGTTTGCAACAATATTAAAAAAAAAGTATAAAAATAAACAAAAAACGTGGTAAAATGGTGAAAAGTTTGAGGTAGCTTTACGAACTGTAAAAACAACACATACATATATTATATAAACTTAATTAATAAATTTAACTTTAAACTTCGATGAACATTTGTTTGTAGTTGTACTTTCTCTTTCTTTCTTGGGTTCAGAAATGTCTGTCAAATTTTAATTTACTTTAATAAACTTGTATGTCTATGTGTGTTCTCTCGCAGCTTGTTGATGCCCCGAATAGTGCTCCTTATCTAACTTTTTTACTTCATTATTCAACAAAAATCAATTTCTTTATAGCTAGCATTTTAGAGAGTATAGAGGATAGGGCAGCAATTCGTAGCCCTATTCGTATAATTTTGCCATTCATTTTGCACATGGAGAGATAAATAAACCCCTCCAAATCAGCAATCAAATATAGTAGATAGATAAACCATCCTATTTCAAGAAGTTAAAAAGTTATACAGAATGGTAAAGGGCCTCTTAGTTGAAGATTAAAACCGGCTATAGCCCTCCAAACATTGAAATGTTTAGCTTTATTTCGAATGAGTAATTCAATAGGTTACGTATGGCTTGTTCTTTTCTATACAGTATATGATTAATTACACTTCTCCTAAAATAGACTTCTGCTTATTATATTTTTTTTATAGGACCCCTATATTGAAGTGAACGAAAACTCAAATTCAGTCATCAGTGGGCAGACAGTCAAATAGCATTAGCATGTCGCATATCAAAGTTCTAAAATGAACAACACCCAGCAAGATGGTAAAGATAGGGTAGTACTCGCTAAAAATTAGTAGAGATTATTACGATCAATTCACTCTCAGAAATAAAAGTGTTTACAAATCAAATGATCAGAGGATGCTTCCACAAATATGATCTGAAACCATACTTACAAGTATATTCACGTTCTACATTGATCAACAGAATTCGTACGATAAATGTGATATTAAACAATTGGTTGCTGGCCGAGAACGCAAATTTGTTGTAGACCAGATTCTCCAGACAGAGGAGGCATATGTGAAGGATTTGGAAATGATCGTTAACGGGTAAAAGGATCTGTGTCTTCAAGTATAGAATTGCTTATCATTATATTGAACATACTTAGCTATATGGCTAGCCATATAATTGGTGATCCCAACAAACTTATCGACCGCAAGAAGGAATTGATTTTTCGAAATATTGAAATGATCTATCTGTGGCACAGGGAGTAAGTATGAATTCTTTTATTTGTGATTGCGATTTGTGAATTCAAATTCAATTTTACCTGCAACTGTGATTTTTTGTCAAAAAAAGAACAATATTCAAACAATTCAGTAATCATAACCAGTCACTAGAAACAAATCGTCAATCGAATACGTCCAGTGTTTAATACAATCGGATTTTGCTTCAAATCCTTCACAGTTACTTTTTGAATGCCTTGCGTGATTGCCAGGGATCAGCGGTAGAGTTGGGTCTACTGATAAAGCGTTCAACGCGAGACTTTTCTATGTATTATTACTATGCTGGGAATCAGCCACTATCGGAACTAATTATCAATGCGCATCATTCGTATTTCAATTCTATACGCGAGATTTTGGGACACCACATAAATGTATGTACAAGTATGTACTATACCCTTGAGGTTGTTAACAAACTTTTATTTACTCTGCAGCTTTCTGGCCTTACTCTAAAGCTGGTCCAACGTATCGCTCTCTATGAAATGTGGCTTAAACAGTTAACGGAGCAAAGTCTAAGTGCGGGGCTTATCGAGGAGGCGGCAATTGTGGGAGAAGCCTATCAGCAAATGAATATCACGGTTAAGAAGGTGCAGGAGTTGTTAACTGTAATACCGAACCTACACGGATTTAACGGTGACATCACAGATCAAGGAAATCTGCTATTACAGGGACCGTTAACTTGCTGTATCGATGTGATCCAAAAACATTTTGAATTGTATGTATATCTATTCCAACGGATAATCCTATTTGCGGACATCGAGAAAGTGAAACCGCCGTCAATTCAAACTCCCAAGTTCAACTATCGCACGCACATACATGTAATTAAATTCATTTCCAAAACCTGATAGTAAGATTACCCTAAAACTATTGTTGCAGGTCCATAACATGCATTTAAAGGAGCTCGGCGAAAATAGTTTTCTGCTCAAGTCGATTGTGTTAAATCTTCCAGTTTTAAACATTGTGTGTCAAGCGCCTACCGCCGAGAGCTATTCTGAGTGGATCAGAATTTTGAATTCCGTGTTGGTTAAGCCGTCCAAACCCTGATTCAATAAACTTGAACATTACAAAAAAGTGTGTGTTATTATTTCCATACGTTAATCGAATCAAGCATCTGTACTGGACAAAAGCCCCTAAAGTTCGTTTGGCTGTCCGCTTATAATGGTGCTCTTCTAAGGCCTAAAGAAGCGATTGAGTATTACAAAATCATATTATTCATCAGTTGTAGACATTGGGTTTCAGCGCACTTTAGGTTTATTCCTTATAGCGCAGACAAAACAATTTAAAAGAATCGAGCTACACATACAAGTAGATCTTGTCTTTCTTTAACTTGGAAGAGCGCGTATATCAAGTTTGTAGATTCTAGCGCGTTTATTTGCTGAGATTCTTATATGTACTACACCTAGCCCTCGCTTAACGCGGGGGTTACGTTCCTTGAAAACTTGTGTTAAACGAAATCGCGTGTATATAATTTTTGCAGCCTTTTCGCAAAAAGCTATTAGTACGCATCTCTGGTATAATACTTATTATAATAAAAGACAACGCAGTTTTCAGCCTATTTAAAAATGTAATGGTAATAAGCTACATGTGTACTCATCTGGCAACGCTAACATTGTACTCTACGAGTGTATAGATCACTTCTCTCTCTTCTCTCTTCTTAGCTAAGGACTTGTTTGTACTCTAGATTATTTATTCAGGTTTATTTGGTTTTCACATCCTATTGTATTCTTTAGGAGTACGTCGCGAAAGACAAGAAACCGTATTGGGATGAGAACGTTCGCAGCTGCTCTGGCAACCCTTTCAGTTGCTTCCCTGATCACGCCTTACCTCATTCTTAGAGTTGCCGCCTGATTCGAGGGAGGGGAAAAAGGCGGCGTGCCTTACCTTCCATAAAACACCTCTGATAACATCAAAGAAAACCGAAAGAAACCTGTTTAATATTTGTACGATATTTACCGTTTACTTTTATTTCCCCCAACATTTTCGAGTGTTTTGAAGGCGCACATTTCTTGCGTTTTGAAAATAAAAACGCATAATTTTGATGTTTGTAGAAAATGAGGGTTTCTTTAGTCCGTTTGTGGGCGAACTTTGAGCTTCACTTTGTTTTTTTTTTTTTTAAAAAAAAGGTCATGACCATTGAGGAAAAAATGTCTTACAAATTGTCGAGCCATTAAGTCGCTCAAATACCCGATTGTGTAATGAAGAGCAATGTTGTCTTTAAACAAAAACTCTCTCTTGGAAAAAGTAATAATAATCAAATAATTCAATTGTCCTTGAGTTGCTGCTTTGGCTCTTAATTGAAAAATGAGCTGGCCAATGTAATTTAATTTAAGCTCACTAATTGTGGCGCCAATGTGACATCAGAGGCTGCTCACTGCCAACTCGCACCCCTCCCCCGTATTCCCATACATCTGTTGCGCCCCACTTGAGTTTGCTGTCAATTTATTGGAGGGTAACAATAAAACGGAAATGGGACAGCAATTTAAGCAAATGACAAAATGCGGCAGGCGGCAAAGGAAATCAACTGAAAGTCTGCGCAGTTAAAGGATGCGTAAATGAAAAAAAGGTTGCTGGCCGGCCTGCTGGGATTAGAGCATAAAATAAAAGCAATTAAACTAAAATTGGAGTGTTATTTGAGTAAAAAAAGGGTATACTCGTACTTGTACTATATCTGCCGCCTGGAGTGTGCCGAATACAAGTAGAATGGCTGTGCCTTTTTACGATTATGGCAATGGCGGTGCACGAAACAGATACAAATACGCGTAGGTGCCTGCATTCTCTCTACTTATCTCTCTCCCTACTCGCCTGCCAAAGTCAATTAGATTTCTACTATAAAAACGCTTGAATGCATAATAAAAGCGAAAAAGTCATTTAATGGCTTCGGTGCTTCTTGGTGCTCCAATGTCGAGCCCCAACTTCGGGGGCCACCTTGTTGGGGTCACTCGATTATGTTGTTTTGTGCGAGCCAGTTGCATGCTTCCTGCCTTTTGCACTTTTCATTGGCATTGGTATCAGCTACTGGGAAATTGCAAATATAGGTAGCAAGCGCCTAGAGTACGGAGTACTGAGCTCCATGGCAACCACTAAGAGGACGGCATGGTGGTTATACTAATGTACGAGTAATTTTAATTTTCAAAGCTTCTACAAGCTGCGTTTTTTCCTAGATTTGGAATTTTTCCTTTAGATTCAGGCTTATTGCGTGGCATACACTTGGAGAATATTCGAACATATTATGTAGACGAGTCGCTTTAGGTATTTGTTTGTCTTTTATTGTTGAAGAAAATAGAAAAGCATAGGCTTTGAAAAACACAGCTATTTCCTGATTTGAGATAAGCTTAGAAATGTGCCTCTTTTTTTCCTATGAAAGCTCATATTAAAAAAAAAAAATTGGTTTAATCGAGCTTATAATTAAATTGTTTGCATATAATTAATTTTATTCTAACATAAACATTTTTATGCTTATCATTTTTATATGTCTGAAAGATCCAGAAAATATTTTTTTTAAATGCGAGTAATTCGATCTTATCGTATTCTTTTTCAGGAATAAAGTGTCTCGCTCGTTCTTTTGGAGAACCTTAAAGAGTTCAGAACACATTCTTAAGGAGGGAACCCAAATTCAATTCAAGAAAAACTTTGTGTCTGTTCGATTTTATGTGAAGTGCAGAAATAAATCTTTAATTTTTATGCTAATGTGAGTCGCAACAACTTTAATCTGCCCATATCGAAGCCTTTTCCCAACCTCTTGGGGACCACAATGAGGCATGAGAGAGAACTAATTGGAAAGTTTTTAAAATGTCGAAAAGAAACACACAAATTATAACCTATACTCAGGATCGAGATGAAAAAATTGATTATTCAATTATTCAAGATTGTATAATCCCGATAGGATTTTCGAAGTTATTATGTTTGTTTATTTAATTGATTTATGAATTTTGTTGTTGCTTATTATGTGTTGTTGTGAATTTTTTCCGGTGTTGAAAACATATTGCGGTCCTTTCCTCAAGTCCAGCACGTGCTTGTGATGCCACTTTGGTCAAGGACTAATGCGCTTTGTGGCTGGCGTACTCGCAGCATCTGCAAATGCATTTACTGACGGCCATTTTGTTTAGACAAAGTCTGTAAAAAACGAGCACTATACATAAACAATGTACAGTACATATACGAGTACCTACGTAAATATGTATTATTGTTGTTTTTTTATACCAAAGACAATCGAGTAAGTTGTTTAGGTTTTTGTTTTTGTTTAACATCAGACAACAGCAACAGAGTTTATGGCGCCACAAGGCAGACATGCAACAACACGTTGCACGCACACACACACGCGCGCATACATAACTGCATATTTGAAATGGCGTTTTCGCCACGCCATGCCTTTTGTTCACAAAATTGAATTTTTCATTACCACAGGCCAGCAGGCTGGCATTGTTGTTGTTGTAATTGTTGTGGCATTTTCAGCTAGGTCTGGTGCCTGGCCAGTGCCTCGTTCGGTTAGGGTCCAGCTCCTAACACGCATCCATTACACATATACATGCACATAACGTTCATAATTGGATTTTGATTCGTTTTGCATAAAGAGAGAGAGAGAGAGACACACACACACACAAACGCACACACACAGGCTTTATGGCTTCATAGAACGCCTCAATAATGTGCATACTGTTTGGTCTGCTGCCTTGCCTAAAAGTCACAACCAAAAACAACAACCGACCTATTGAACTGATTGCTGGTTATATGCTGATTTGCAAATAATCTCATTGCGTTTACCATTTTTTCTTACATTGCTTTTTTAATGACTTTTTTTAGAAATCACATATTGTTTCCTTTCTTTCCGAATTATATTCGAAATTCACAAATGCTTGTCGAAGGGAATATTGCGTATACGCCACATGCGTCACGACACACAAGTATGTACATAAATAAAGCTATGTAGCTTCATTTGATTGAATATTGTGTTTGGCCATCGACTGTGAGCCACGACGAATGTCCGCATTGATAGAAAAGTAATAAGAAGCTTTAGAATTTGAAGAGCGGGTTTTGTTGTTCGCCAGACATTGAAAAAAAAGATGGAAAATAAGTACATTGTACGGACTTATATGATTTTCTCCATCAAGTTGCCTTGACAAAGACACATATGCATTTCTTTTTAACTACAGAGAAATGTCGAAAGGTAATTTATAGTATATAAAAATTGATTTTTATGAAATTTCTACAGCTGGAAGATGGAGACAAAAACTACTCAGATCGTGAGTGCAAGCCATCGTATAAGCTTATTGCCTTCTACGATATATCCCAGGCTCTGAAGCTAGTAATTACGAAATAGGGCATCCACATTGGACTTACAGTCTCAAAGATGGAATGCTAATTAGCATTGATCTCAAATCAATATATCGACATGGGCTATATTTATAAAACAATTGAATTTTGAACTTGCTGGTTTTCTTGACAACCTTTTGTAATTTATAAAATTACTTGCAGTCTTACATTTATGGCGATTTAATAACATTAAATTAGTTTCCGACTTTCTTAAAGCACGTGTAACGCTCCAGTAATACACTTTTATTAGCGCTCATTAGGGAATTGCTTGCAGCGCTCACCAAACGACGCCTTCACATTATTTCTTCAGTATTCAGTTTTCAGTTTGATTTTAAATAAAATTTCGGGGTTCTTTATCAGAGCGACCAATTTTTTGGACAATCTTTGGAAATCAGAAATTTTATTATTTTAGCGCAAGAATTCGACCCTTTTCAACATTATCAGGCACCGAACCTCTTGGCATTTTTTTTAAAGTGAAATTTCGTATGTGTTTCGAATTGGCAACCTTTTCTGTAACGAAATATGAAATATGAAATCTGAGTCTCTTTAAAGCTGGCGCGGCAATCATCAATGACGGCTTGTTTTCTATGTATTTTGTAGGGGGTTTTATAGCTATTTTTAGCGGTATTTCTAGCCATTTCCTAGATATTCAAGCGGTTTTTTTATAAAGCAACTTTTTAGCTAGATATTAGAAAGCCATAACCATTATCTAGCCATTGTTTCATACCAAATTT